TTCATTCATTTAGAATATAATTTCAATTATAAACTTAGACCTAAGGATCATATCAGGGTCAGCCTGGGCATATTTTAAGGGCTCATCCAAATCCAAAAACTGTTTGCACTTAATATCATCAATGATGTTGATTGATAGGATATGATCTTAAATCTTTACAGTTCTTTAGTAGCTGTAGCTGTAGTCACATTAAAGCTGAGTTTACTTTGACTCAAGTGTTGGACATGTATTATCCATTTCATTTTTTAACATTTGTGACATTTGACGCTCCTGCTGAACATTCATTCAACTGCTGGAAAATGAGCTGCAGAGGAAAAGCTGGTGGGAGACGGAGCGCCAAGAAATGACGAAGCTCTGAGTCCATTGATGATTTGAGTCATCATTTGAGAAGACAGTCAGATGACAATGAGTGCTGATGATTTCCCAGAGTTCACTGTGTTTTTTTCTGCACTAAGGTGCACCACCATTGCTCTGGGCAGCTTCTCTGAAACAGAACAAACAACTATTTAAAGGAAACAGGAAGTAGAGGGAGCATCAGCTACTACTCCATGACTGTCTTTACTGAACATTTCTTCTGCTTTTTCACACTTTCCTTTTCTCCACTTTTCCTCCACACGCTGATCCTGAACAGACTCAAAGAGTACAACGTGATGGCTTTAAAACATGACCATCAACTATGTGATAGAACTTTTGTTTAACATTCTGCAGATTACCACCTGAAAGCTACTGTGATATGAAGTGCAGTAACAGGTTTTGTGCCATTTGTGTCAGCAGTTAACACATACAGGTTACACTCTGTTATCTTAAGAATTTGTACAAAGGCCAACATTTGAACCACACATTAGTTTGGCAGCATGCAGCAGCTAGTAAGTGGCGATGGCAGAGCTCCACGTCTGTTTTGAAGCATAAACTGCTCTGAGGCAGTTGATGGTTAAATGTAAATTCCTGTGCTGGAGCGACGTGTCAGATGAAGGTGTGAAACCACAGTCAGACGGAGAAGCTGTGAAACCAGTCCTACTCACATAAGGAAGGCTGGCAGAGGTATGCAGGCTGTGATTGTACATAAACACACACACACACACACACACACACGCTTGGACTGACAGAAGAGCGCAAGAGAACAAACACTGACTCATTCTGCAACTCATGAGGTCCATCAGCAGTGGAAACAAAGATCATAAAAGGGGCAGAGCTAGTGTTTACAATACTAGTCAATTAACTGATTAGCTGAATTTTATAATATTACTAGAAACTAAAAATGAAAGGGGCTGCTTTTGGACTGTCGACCAGTCACCTGATATTTCTTTTGCACTGCTCACTGACTTCACAGGAAAATCTTCCACCCATCCTTAAAGCGATTTGGCGGCCCCAGTTTCAGGCTGTACGCCGCTGTGATAGATATGGACAGCTGTACATGTGAATTTGTTATGATTTTACATTACTTATGATCAAAAATGAGCAAGCTGCCAACTTTGCTAACTCAGCCAAACATCAAGCAAGTGCAACCAGACAAGTCAGCTAGTATTACTTAAAAGGCCAACAGAACAAAGACCAGCTCGTGATTCACCAGCTTCACCAAAATCAATGACAGATAGTTGGTGGTGTGTGACTTAGTGACCTGGGGCCAGAACAGGCGTACGGGGTGTAGAGTGGGTAGGACAGAGGTACCATTCAGTGATTTTGAAGGTGTTATTTTAAGAAAGAAAAGTTACATAATGTTGCTTTAAATGTGCCTTTATAAGTGTCATCGCCTCCAGATGAGCAGCACATCTGTTTTAACACAATTTTGGATGTTTGATACTGAGAAATGTGGACACAGCTGAGGTCCAATATGAAACATCCATTCACCTCAACAGCAATAAAATACAGGTGTAACCATGACCCTGAAGGCCAAAAACACCAGTTTGTTTGCTCTGTGTTGCTGTCTTTAGTCCAGTTAGAGCATCTTGTTGCTAGGAAACATCAGAAGATGTTTAGTATCCTGTCAATCATTTTATTGTCTGTTGCTAGCAGGACGGTCCACCTACATTTTCCCCAAAAAAGTCACTGCCGGGTACAGAGTCTTTAGTGTGTGTGTGTGTGGCTGTGGGGTTGCACGGCGGGCTGGATGCTGGCAGGAAGTGGAAGCGAAGCGTTCAGATTCTGATCTCAGCAGTTAAAGCCGGCGGCTTTTGCAAAACCAACAGAGGGAGACGAGAGCAGAGGGACGAGTGCGGAGGCTTGGAGGAGAGACTAATGCCATCAAAGTCAACCAGCAGCCAGAGCTAATTGAAATTAAAGACCAGAAACGAGGACATGAGGAGGGA